CAAGTAAATCATAATTTTAATGTTTTCAAAAATATTTAATTCTTGCGATAGCTGCAAGGGTATATGAACTTCGGCTTGCCGAAGTTTGCTTTCTTTCTTGTTAAAAATGAAATTATTGGCGCATGGAAATATTTTAAGAAATACTATACTGTACTAATTAATTTGAATAAAAATCCCTTAAAATACCGGTAGCCTAATCTTCATTAAATTATATTAAATACCTTATTTATATTGAATTCTCCACATAGAGATAAAAAGTAACGTTGATACTATATTGTCTTCCTATTAAATGTAATACATATTATAAATGGTGACTTTTGGATAAGATCGTTAGGGTATAAGCACCTTCGATGCTGTGTTCTAACGCAACTTCCTCCTTTGGCATTTGCTTGGTGCTCCCTGTGACTCTGGCTCTTTGATCCAGGTTCGCACAGGTGGCACTTGGAGTGGCGACATTGGGGAGAACTGCAGTAATCGTGTCCTCCTGCGAGCTTTGCCCTCGTTAGCTCAGCACGTTGCTGTTGCAGCTAGCCGGATATCTATATATAGCCAACTGGTGTGATTTTGATTCATGGCGCGATTATATGTGCGCACGCAGTTTATCTTCTTTTCTTATATCTCTCCTGCTTTTTTGTCTTGAGTAGCAGCAGCAGGAGCAGCACAGTAGCCTGGGCCCAGCGTGAAGGCTTGAAATTCGAACACTTTCTGGAGGAGCCCCTCGCGGGGTCTCTGTGGCAGATCCTCGCACCCCTTCCCCTTCCTTGTGGCACTTAACATTTTATTGTTAATAAAATATATTACAAGGCGCAATACCAAAGGCCAACTGGGTTGTGTGCCAGGCTCTCGTTGTATTCAGGCCCAAATGCGTTAACGAAATCATCTACCGCATCCTCTGGTCCATTTGAGATCTCCCCCTTGGTTCCTCAGGTGAAAACCCCCCTGCCACCGCCCCTGGGACTGTCGCGTGAGTTCGTGTCGTACATTTAACGCGTGACTTCTTTCGAAAATTGTTCATAAATTTTGCGTTTAACAGTAGCAGAAAGGCAACGGCAAAAAAGGGCCACAAAAGTCAGGCCAATACAAGACCGTTGAAGGCTGCGGCCAAGGAATTGGCTAACTGAAATTTTCACAAATCGGAAATTCAGTCTACAGATCAGTGCTTGATACTCTGTAAGGGGACAAAATTGAATCAGTTGATAGGTACCTCTAATTCAAAGTTTCGACTATAAATAATTTGTAGCTGAAAAATTACATAGACTTAATTGAAAGCAATTTATTTTCACTAAAAATTAAGACTTATTATATTATAATTAGATAAATTAAATGTGATGCAGATTATATAACTCTTAATTCCTTTTTGCAACTTATTTAAACCCAGATTTTTCAACGCTCCAGATGACATAAATTCTTTTAAAACAGATTCAATGAAGTGGACTCCAAATTCGGCGAAGGGCATTTTCGTTTCGATCCGGATTGGTTGGTCACGGATTGTTCGGTTCATAATTTTGTCCAACTCAACGAAAATTATTTCACAAATCTGACAGATGCAGCGACCACGAACCATGGCGACAGATAAAATGCGAGAGCAAAATGAAATGAATTACTGAACCTCAACTCATCGTTTGCTGCCTTTCGCTCATTATAATGCAAATGCAATATATATTCGAGTATTTCTAATTAATAACACACAAAATGTAATCAGCAATGTTAATTAGGCACATCCGCTGCTTGGCCCATTCAGCGTTGTCACCTCCACTCCACGTTCGTTTTCATTCATAAAAATCCGACAGAGACTCTGTCACAGTTTTCGGTTCGGTTTCGACTGCTCACTGCTGACTGCTGCCCACATGGCAAAATGTTGGCTGGATTTGCATAGTTCGTAAGCCAAGTCAAGTGATCATGGCTGCTGTAGTAAAAAGGCACAAAATCGTTAAAGATTTTGTGTGCTTGTTTTCGATCATTCAAAGTTTATCCGGAGAATTGAATAACCGGTTTACCAGTTATGAAACTGTTTCAACTTTATCGGTTGTGTTTTTGGGTTCTTTTTTTTTTTGTTTTTTGACTTTTGGTGAAGTTTTATGAATGAAAGAGCGTAAAATTAGCATTTGAAACACGTGAAGTACCACTCAATATTACTCATACGTCCCAGTGGACTTAAGAAAATAGCGATTCAGTTCCGAGGGAAAAAGCGAATTCTACTGTGAATCAACATTTCGCTGACAGGTGCGCCAAACTGATTCATCCTCTTGCTTATTCAAATAAGCAAAGTAAATTATTGTTAATTTATTATTTCCGGTGCTGGTCGATTTAAATCGCTGCCAAGCTCAGAGCGATAAATAATGTATCTATTGAAATGCTAACACATCTAATGCTTTAAGCACTTGTCAAACGCGGCGCTTGGTGTTTGCTCCATTCGGTGAAATATCCCCACAAAAGGCGCCAATTATGTCGGTGGCGAAATGATACCTCAACTCGCCTGATCACCCTGATCTGCCTTCGGTCCGCCTTTCCAAACCAAAAGCCCCAAGACGAGGTCAAACTCTAGCTGTGCAATCGACCAACTGACTGACTGACTGACGGCCACGATCTGGACGATCGACGTTAGACAGGCAATTTGTAGATTTTTAAAATAGTTTCAAATGAAACCCAGCCAGTCGTCCAGCAGGCACTCCACCAGACAACCTGTGCGCTGTCCGATCGCCAAAAGCGATTGACCACAGCAAACACAACAATGAGGAGTCTGTATTGGAGAAGTCGAAGCTATTCATACCCTTATCCTCGATGACCTTCACTGGGTTGTTGTGGCTTTTATTTGTTAATAAGAAGATTCGAAGAATTGGTACAATTACAATAAATAGTTTCAGTTGTCTTGTGTATACATTTATGTTCTTATTTCAAATATAAGCGGTGAATCATATTGTATTTAAAGTTTTATAAAGCGAATGGTTGATTTGTTTAAATTATATAGAACGGTGGCATAGAAGTAGAGGAGTAAGAAAAGAGGGCCTGAGATGTAAACAATCCAAAGTCCATGGCTAGTTTTTCGCTTTTAATAATTATACCTTAACTGAAACGTATTAAAAAAAACTCAAATTGAGGGAATAAACTAATACGGCAACAAATATCTTACCTAATCCCATATCTTTAATCCCCCTCTGAAAGAGTATAAAAAGCTCATGCAAATTAATAGCCAACTTTGGCCAAAAATTAATTGATCACTCGAGACAGGCAACATTGCAGAGATTGCAAACCAGACTTATAGACCCGTCGATCGATCGATCGACCGATGGCCGGCTGATCGCTGCGAATTATGTTGGTGCTGGTGGGTAAGTGCCCGCATATTCGAGCTGATCATAGACTTCCTGAGGTAGCTGGATCGATTAAGTTGGTGAAATGTTTTTTCATGACTCCATGAACAAATTTCAATTAACATATTCACGCAATAATTGCAGGGGTTTCTGCGGCCCACGTCGCTTGTGGTCAGAAAACAGGCGGCCCACGCTCGAATCCCCACTAGACACGTGTCAAACTTCCGATCATTAGGAGCAGACAGGCGCTCATCGCACCACGCCCACTCGCCAACTGGAGGGGCCCTAATTAATAAACAGACAAAACAATTTTAGGGCCCCTCAAAGAAAAACATTCGGATTGATAAATTATCGAAAATGCAGTTTAGCGTGTGCCTTAGACAAAAAGATATTGAGATTAATCACTGGACCAGGCCGCTCGTCATCATCCGATCAGAGATGCGTTGGCGATCCTCTACGGTAATGCCGACTAATTAATGATGGCCACGCATGGAAAGCGATGAAAATGTTGTCGTATAATCCAGTAGGTCACTGGAAAATAAAAATAATAAAAAAAAAGCCTGGCCATCATGATGTAACAGACGACGGAAAATATTTGAAAATTTGATACGGTAGTGTTAGCTTAAAGAATGTATTTAAGGCGAGAATAGTGAGACTGCAGGAACTTAACAAAAAAAACAAGCACTATAAAAGCATTTTTGTGTAAAGGAGGAAACTAAAAGAAAATGTCGAAGAAGTGAACAGCTAAAGTGAACAAAGTGAAAAAAAAGATGTCTTTGAAAAGTACTCTCTAAAAATTTGGATTTTATAGAAATGTAATGACCTAAAAATATAAGTTTGATATAAGAAATAAATAAATTAAAATCAGTTAAAGTTAATTGTCAGTTTAACTGAATTTTTCAAAGTTCCTTAGGAAATATAAACTCAATAAGAAATATTTTAATCTTCGCTGCACAACAAGTTCAACGATGAATAAGTACCCCAGACAGTGTCAATTTGGACTTCTGTTGGCTTCCACACCCACATTAAGTCATGGCAATTACCGTTGAACACTGGCTTAGACCGGCTCATAATCAAGACACAAGTTTTAATTTAAATTTGCCCCAATGCCCGTATCTCACAAGTAGCACACACAATGTTGCAAGATCGTTTGGATCGGATCGCTGGGACTTCGTGGCCGCCACAGATCTAAGTCGGCCAAATTTTGGCCCCTGGCAGACTCTGCCCAGTGCGAATACCTCCTGAAGTATTGGACACTCCACAAATCTCCCGCAATTACAATACTTTATAAACTTATTTTTCTTCTCCCATGGCGAGGCCTGTATTATCGTCTAATTGCATCGCCGACGCTCTTGGCATTTGGCGCGTCAACAAACGAGCCGCCAACGCCGCGACCCCAACCCCAAAGATCCCCACCCCCAGCCCCTTAATCCTATCACACCTCAGCGGCGGTTTGAAACTGAAAAACAAAAAACAAAAAAGATATAATATATAAGTGGGGGAAAAATAAAAACAAAATCAACTGAGTGGACCGCAGGCCGTTCCATTCATCATTTTTCGTTTAGTGACGCGCGTGCCTCGTGCGCCTCAAATCGAGTGTTATTTTTTTCACAGATTTTCAAATTGAGACGTCATGATCTCGACGGTTTCGTTGGCTCTCTTCTGTTATGGTTATGATTGTGTTAATGCTTCTTTTCGGATATGTACGTACAACATTTATTGTTTCATAAGGCACTGCGGGCATGCAACTAACTCTAACATAGAACATTGTTGTGCTTATGGGCTACGAGTATAATTTAGCGAGTATAAAACTGCGAATACTACAAAGATCAGTACAATGAAAAATACAACAGAAATACAACCGAGTCTTAATCGAAACTTATTATTACGCTTACTAGTTTCTAAGATATTACCTATAATATGTATTAAACGAACTCTTAAATAGGGATAAATTCGAGTTGCAGCTAGTTTTTGGTTTTACGCCTTTGGTGCTATTTTGCTGTGTTTTTTTTTATAAGATATACAGGCAATTTTAATTAACAGGCAATAAGATATATATATACATAAATTCGAGTGTAGATAGTTTTTTGTAACATTAATTTAAACCTTGGATCTTTTAAAGAGTGTTCTAGGATCAAACCAAATAATTAATAAATAACAATTTTGGTTTTTTCTGACTGCGGCTTAGAAGCTAACCTAAATTGCTTCATTTCTTCGCAGGATCGATTCGAAAGATATGGAAAACTAGCTTAGATCGATTAGTAATTACTCCACTTTTGCAGGTTATCCGTTTCGTCCTCCTCCTCGTCGCTTGTCGAGGGCGGCGTATCCAAATTGGCAATATCCACATCCAGATAATCCTCCTTCGTCTGCAGCAGCTTGTCCATATACTCCACGATCTCCGTGAAAGGCGGCCGATCGTCAGCGTTGAAATGCCAACATTGTCGCATGAGTATGTAGATGTTCATGGAACACTTTGCTGGCTTCTCCATCCGCTGCCCGGACATTAGATAACTGTAGAGCTCCTCCGCGGACATGATCGTGGGATACGGTTGTTGTCCATATGTCATGATCTCCCACAGCAGAATTCCATATGACCAGACGTCGCTCTTCGAGTCGTAGAACTTCTCCTGCAGCGATTCCGGGGCCATCCATTTAATGGGTAGCCTTCCATTCGTGTTTTTCCTATAGTACTCGGTGCTCTGGATATCCCTTGCCAACCCGAAATCAGCGATCTTCAAGACATAATCATCGCTGACAAGTACATTCCTGGCGGCTAAATCTCGATGAATGCAGCGCCGGGAGGCTAGGTAATCCATTCCCCGTGCAATTTGGTGGGCAAACTTAATCAGATCCTTTTCGGTTATTATATGAGCTGGCGGCGATGGAGGCGGCTGTGAACTATCCCGGTCCTGATCTCTGCCAAATGGTCGATTTTTGTAGAGAAAGTCCTTGAGGTTGCCGTGCGGTGCGTATTCAACGATTACATAAAGTGGCCCACTTTGACTGCAGCATCCCAATAGGTTAATAATGTTGATGTGACGTCCGATGATCTTCATAACTTCCATTTCCCGCACCAAACTGGCAATGTCGTCATCCGTGTGGCCTTCCTTCACCATTTTCACAGCCACAATGGCATTGTTGACCTCCGCCATGACCACCCGACCAAAGGCACCTTCTCCCAAAGTGGCGCCCAAAACGAGATGATTTCTCGGCAGCTCCCAATTCGAATCTAGTGGGAATTCGTACTCATTGAAGGGAGCCGGTTCATTGCCACTTTGAAGGACGGTGGTTCGCTGCTTTTTTATCCTCACCACCGGCATGATCATGGTGTCCATGGATCCACTGGAATCTCCGCCACTCTCGGGCTTGAAGATTATAACTTTTTTGGTCCACTGGTGCACGGTTTCTATGCGTTGTTTCAGCAGTTTTTCATGCTTCATTTTGCGCACTGCATAAAAGAGAAACGAGGCGCACATGATGATGAAAAGAAATCCGCCAAAGACGATGAAGTACATGAGATTGGTGCGCTCCACGCCACTGGCCACTCCGGCCTCCAAAAGATGCAGGCTTCGCACCACTCGCAGGTAAGCGGTGCTATTCGATCGACCCAAACTATTGCTCTCGATGCAGGTATACCAGCCCTCCTGTTCCATCGTCACGTTCACGAACTCCAGCTGATCCTTACCCTGGGCGATGATCGTGCGGTTGTTGGAGCAGTTGGTCATCCCCTGGCAGGGCACAAAGATCCAGGCCTTCATGCTGGTTAAGTCCGACAGATATTTGCAGTACATGCTGCCACTGCCATTGACCACGAGAGTGAGATTCAAGGGTCCGGTAATCAAGATGGGCTTATGATTAACCCGGTCGCTTACGATCACCTGGGTGTCATGTCGAATGCAGCCTAAGGCATTGCACACCTTGCAGGTGTAGTTGCCACAGTCACCCGGCACCAGATCCTCCATGGTCAATGTCCATCGATTTTTCTTAAGAGTGCCATACCCGCGCGTCCAATCAACGGTTCCATTGCGATACCAAGTGATATTCGGCTCAGGATTTCCCACAGCTTGGCAGTTTAAAGCGAGCAGTGAGCCCGAAGGTCGCGTCTGGAGAAAACTCATTCTCTTGGGATGCCGCCAATAGGGTTTTCCACTTTCGCTCTCCGGCAGTTCAGCTTTATTATCATCATCATCCGCAGGGCCATCGTCCAAATCCGTTGTTGCTGTTTGGTTGGTGTTACTTGAAATAGCCGAGGTTTTATTTTGACTGCCTCCCGAATTGTCTTTTAGCATTTCCTGACTATTGGCCACTTGGCGGCGGCCTTCAACTTGAAACAGCAGCAGCAGTAGCACAAATATCGCCAGCGACCCGCTCTTCATTGTGATCGTTGAGTGACTGGCTCGCCAACTCCAGCCAGCAGCCATTTTTAGGATATTTATTTTTGTAACTCTTGCCAGAGGCAGAGGGACAGGCACTTTCAAAAGTGCCACAATGGCAACTGCAACTGCAACAGCAACTCCCTTGTCGCAGTTTGTCGCATGTGCTGTGTGGTTTTTTATTCACCGGAAATCCACTTTAGAGTGCTCCGCTCTAGATAGACTGCTCTCCCTTTTTCATTCGCGTCGGAAGAAGATCGGTGATCTTCTAGTTTCTAATTTATAATGGAAACAACAACAGTTGCCTCTTTAGTGTGCAACATGTGTGCCTTTGAAGTGATCCTCCACTCCGCTTACAATTGCAATCGGATGCCGATGAAGACGATGCTGAGATGATGATCCTCTTGATGATCACCTATCTTGTTGGTGCAACGGAAATACTTTCCCCCAAAAAACGCAAGATGCCGCACGGCTTTTAATTATTGGGGGCGGTCGTGTGTGATATACTCAGTGAGATGATGGATTTATGGCAGCCATCACCAAAAGAGCTCCGATCGTGGGCGTTGATCATCGCAGTTTCCATAGATCATTCGGCTGCTGGGTAGGGTGTGTTCCTTGGATCGTGTTTGATTTTACTGCAACATCTGAAAGAATGCATACGATTAGATTTATGATCACATCCGTTAAGTATATTATTGCAGCTAAGAAAAAAAATGTTCCCCCAACGAACAAGTGCGAAAATCAATGGCAGATCGGAAGTCTACAGATACATCCGCCAGTTTCTTTGAGTCAATGAATTTCCTTTTTATATTTGATTACAGTCAATTTTGGTGTATTAACTTTCGAGACTTTACGCAGATTCTTTTTGGTCTTGACTCGATTAAAGGCCATTTCCATTTGGCGAGCTTAATTAAAATGTCGCGCACATTTCCGGTAACTTGTTCAACCATTTTTCCTCTCCCGATCTGATTTTGTTCCAGCGCGTGCCATCAATTAAAAATGGTCCACAGGAATGAGATCACAATGTGCGGCAGGCAAAAAACAAAAACAAACCTGAGGTTTTTCATTATTTAAGCGTTGCACATTTTATTAATTTTGAAAATAGTTTTATAGCCGTGGAGCCCATAAAGATATTTCGGCTAGCGCTCTTTTAATACCGCCATAAAATGGCGTTTACTTTTTTGGCGAGGAAGAACTCTTTTCAACTTGTTGTCAGTTTACTTTACGATGGGATTCTATATATAAAGCGCCCTCAAATGTGGTTCTGTTTAGTGTTCTATTCTATTTTTTGCACAACTCTCCGACGATGTCACTCACGTTTCTCCGCTTTCTAGAAGGCTGGGAAGAGATCTCCTGACTTTTTGCGATTTGTGAATATTCACGGAGCTAAATGAAAACTGTTCCAAATTGGTCTGCGTAGTCCGATGAACTGAAAAATACCCAATGCCAATTCCAATTCCCAATGATCGTGTATGATCTCTCTCTCTCTTATTTTCCTAAGGCTCTCTCTTTTTCTCACCGGATGGCCCTTCTCTCTTTCACTATGCACTATCTCTCCCACATAATGTCCTACTCAATGCGCCGGCGTCGGGAAAGAACGACTCAATTTAGTGGGCCCTCGAGTCGCTTCCACTGCTGCCGTTATATTTCCAATGCGTACATACGACAGCTACAGGGTATGCTCTCTTATTGGGAATGATATGTGTGGATTAAAAAGTTTGTAATGAAATATAAAAATTGAAAAAAGCCTTTAGATCTATTCGTTTTCTTTTTCACTGTTTGATGTCGAAATTTTCATTATTATATATTTTAAATTTGAGTGCTATTGCATATTCTTTCCAAAGCAAATAATAATAATACATTTTTTACAATTTGAATGAAACTAATAAAGATGCTTTTGTCCTGAAATAATGGTTCTGTTTTGTTAACAGAATATGGGACTAATGAAGTAAAGTTAACTCAAGGTATCAAAGTTTCAGGTATCCTATAGTCGAAAACATCGAAAACAGTCGCTTTGTTGTTCTTGTTGTGGTTCTGTTTTGTTGGTCGTTGCCTTTTGCGTCCCGCATCTTTTCGCTTTCAACGGCAGCCTTAATTTTTCACATATGCTCGTCCCGTTTCCCCCTGGATTTTCGTATCTCTCCTTTTTCCCCGAGTATTGCTCTCATCTTTAATTAAAACAGACACAGTTTCTCTCGATGCTCTGGTGATCTTTCCAGTCACATTCAGCCCACATCTGGCGCACAAAAAAATTAAAGAAATTAAAAGCAACAAAAATAACGGCCGGAGCGACTGTGTGTTTTGTCTCTGTTCTCCCTCCCTCCTCCCGCCCCCTGGCCACGCCCACGATGCAGACAAGGGCAAATATTGTTTCGGTTTGCATTTGGTGCTCTATTGTCGACTGCAACATGTGGGCACATCATCAGAATCGGCCATATATATGTACGCATTTGTCTACCTAAGATCGTGCCACATGTGTTGCACAGACATTGTCGTCGGTTCTCGAGGGGAAGTCAAAAGCCGACTCCCGCGAGAAAACGACGACGGGATGGGGTTATCCAAAATTTGGACTTCCAGGAAGGCAGCCGCCAAATCGGAAACGGCCAAATCAAAAAAATTTTCTTTCCCCCTGGGAGGACTGACCTTCACCTCCATCCAAAACGATCGCACATTTTAGTATATTTCCTGTGCAGCCCAAAAACCGCCGAAAATAAACAAACACGGCGCGAAAAGTATTCGCAAAGTATACACACAGTATTCCATCCATCTCCTATCGCATTGAACCGCCGGTCACTTGGCATCCATTTCAATCGCACGAGTTCACCCCAAGTGACGCACTTGGTAACCCCGCCGCCACCGCCCAGTGTATTCGATACCAAGTGGAGACCGGCACGAGTCTGTAATTTCGCACGGTTCGTCGGCAGGTTCCAGCCACCCATCTACCCACCCATTTACCCACCCAACTACCCATCTATCCGTCATATGCCACTCAGTACGTGACAGCGAGAAGGTTGCATCTCGAGAGGAGAACAAAAGACGCAGACGGAGCGAAAGGTCGAGTGTATAGAACCGACTTTAACGAAAGGCTTTTCCGGTAAATATAGGAAACTATTATACGGTCTTCTGAAATTTTTAAATATTTTTGAAATACGATCTTAAGAGAGTAAGATTAAGGAAAATACCATAGATAAAATAAAAATGGCTGTATGCACATTTCAAAAATAATATCTGCTCGATTGTGATTCTGCTAACCTGTATTTTTAATATTTTTCAAAACAATTACTTAAGAAATTATAAGTATGTATGAGAATTAGTCATGTAATAATAATAATTTAAGTGTTCACTCAAGAGATTGTTTACATAGCTGATTTAACAGTAATCGAAAACAACATTTGGAATGATTTAATAGCGAATTCATTCATCTTAAAATAATATTTACAAAAATAACGGAAGCGTTTTTAAAGAGTTATTCTAAAAATAATTGTAATGAAATTGTGCATTACCCTATATGGAACCTAACACAAACACAACCAATAATATAGTTTTTCAGTTACTAAAGATCAAAAGACCATCAAGGAACTTTTGGTTGATCCCACCTATGATCGAAACAATACCAGGAATCGGACGTACAACTAGCTAAACAAACCTAACCTTAATTATCAATTGTAAGTACGATCGCAAAGCAGAGAGGAGAAAAGTAAGAAACACCGTTCGCCAGGGAGCAAATTGAGTGATTGCCAAAGGCAACAAAACTGAAGTCGAGGCAGAAAAAAGATGGAATCGTAAAGCTTCTCGACCGACAAATACCCGATAAATTTATACTATTAGCTATAGCCATATACACACAGATATAGAGCAGGTCGGACAAAGAGCAGACAAGTTGAAATGTTTGTTTACGCGGCTAGAAAATATTGCATGTTTCCTCCTGATGAGATGCTCGCAATACAAGTTGGTTAATAAACAAAATCACGCTGGGAAAAACTGAAAACCAAATTATGAATTTGAGATATTTTCTCAGCTCCGCCGAGTGCCGCGTCGGTTGGGCTGGAAAACCAAATAAATAAATATAAATTAGAATGGGAACCCTGTGGAAAAGTGCTTTCAATTTGAGCATGAACCATAACAGAAAAATAAAAAACGTATTCAATGGGGCTTTCAGATACAGAACTAGCCATATTCAGTGTGATATGGGGTAGCCAGAGAATGGATAATTGAACGATTGACTACAGACACACAGCGAGATAAACGACTCAAATTGCTTTGGTTCACCAACATGGAACCACAGCACATTTTACACTATTTGGCCTTTGGGTGAAAAGTCAAATTGCTGTGTGCGGTCAATGAAAAAGTAGACCAAACAAATAATTTGCGCAATTACGCAAAAAGCAAAGTAAACCAAAGCGTTGCAATATGTATGGTAACAGAAGCATATATTTTTAAAGACTTACCTCACAATGTGCGTTGCTCCATAGCAAAAAGCTTCTTGCCAAATAGCCAAAGTGTCTCTGCGTTGGAATTTCTCTTGCCTTCGGTTAAAATGTAAATGTTTCACCAAAACACAATTGAGAAAGTTCACAGAATTCGAGAATGTTTCCACTTAAAATTCTTGAAATTTTTTAGTGCGTATTTGTGTGGCACTTAGGCACTAAAACAGAAGCAGAAATTGCTGCACACTTGACGCTGTCTCACTCTTTCCTTTACTTCGAATGTGTTTTCACAGTAATTCTAGTTATTATTGACCATAATTATTAAGCGATTTTGACCGATCAATCGATCGATCGGGTTCCGTCCGCTGTCGATTTTCCTCCGATTTTCTAACTGTAACGGCACGCAGTCCGATCGCAACTAAAGTCAAACCGAACAGAGCCAAGCGAGCGCTGCGAAATAAATCTCTTCAATTAAATGAGGGAACAAATGAAACGAATTCACATTCCCCCATCAACATGCTGGAGAACACATCTCTGCAATGTATTTTCGCGGCAGCCGCATAAACAAATACAGAAAACACACAAAATTGAACGGAACGCCAGCCACACATTGTATAATCCACTGAAAGAGAGGAAGGGTCGAAAAAACGGGGATATGGATGGTATGGTATGGGGTATATGGTATATGGTATAGGGGCAACGGGGCACATGTGTGTATCTGAGTGGCGGCCTTCCCTTGGAAAGTGAAATGTAATTGAGTGCGCAGACCGCGCTCGTTCTAAATTCGTTCAATTGAGTCGAATGAAATATCTCAGCTACACAATATGTTGCATAGTTTTGAGCGCACACAGAAAATTCATGAATATCATTATGAGGGTGCAGAACACTTAGGAACGTTCCGATTATCACTTTTAATATTAATTATTATTTTGAGAATAATACCAATAAGATTTGGATCAATATTATTTCAAAAGATAATGGCAACGTCAATGACAATATTTGTTAAATAGATCATCATCATTATGAATATAAGGCTTAATAGCTGATCCAATTTGATCTAAATAAACCAATAATGACACGATCATTCGATTATATGAAATTTTAATTTTTGTATGTCCAATTCTTTTACTTTGCTTGTTGACAACTAAATTTCTACAACGTCTTATATTGAATTCGTTTTCTGTTAAACACAACTAAGAATTCGTTACAAGTTGTCAATCTTTTACAAACAGATACCAATTTAGAAAGATAACTCTAACTCATATTTTGAAGCCAGCAAAAACAAAAAAAAAAATTCGTTACAAGTTGTCAATCTTTTACAAACAGATACCAATTTAGAAAGATAACTCTAACTCATATTTTGAAGCCAGCAAAAACCTGAGACATTTCTTAACGCTTCGATTGAGGTGGAATATCCAAAATGGGATTCATTAGCTGGAACAATACGACGCTAAGTAAGTTAGCAGTTATTAATTATGGGCTACTTATAGTAGATGCCAAACGACCTCGGGCGGCAGCAGAACCAGTAGCCAGCCAACTGGAGATGGAAGAAAGCTTCCCTAATGAATGACACTCGAGGAGAAAAAGGCATGAAAGCACACACGCTGTGAGCGAAAGACAATGGCATCGTTTAGCGTTTGTCTCCATGGAGACCCAAAAAAAAGGGTTAACCAAACAATGGACTTGCGAGGGGATTTTGGCCGAGAATCGAAAACAATTAACGATTATTGACTATTAATTGTGGCCGACGGGCCCGCTCAGTGCCAAATGGCGTTACGCCTGACTGATTAATTGATGCTGTTGCCAGGCGGAATGGGAGGATCCCCATGAGTGGCCAGCATAGTTTCAACAGTTAACAGCCTCGTAAAGCCAGGAACCGGGGAATACTGGGGTTAAAGACGGCCAGCAACCAGTGTATGGTCATAATACTTAAATTTTATGCACTCCTGGGCAATCCTCCTGGCTGCCAACTCCTCGGGCAGCCGATTCTCAGCTTCCGTATGGCTTTTCAATTTGGCCAGAACGAAACGCAAGTTGTTAGCGTTTCGAACATAGAAATAAATATTGGAAAATTGGCTCAAAGTCTGGGCCTGGCTCTCGGAGCCTTTGGCCATTAGCTCTGCGAATGGGAAATGGGAAATCGGGAACTGGGACCGGCTTTTGGAGACACGATCTCAAGCGGACCGAGTTGGGCGACACGATCTCCAACCATCGCGCAGAGATCTCGTGCAGAGCAGCCAAACAGCATAAAGTTAATTGCTAATATGATTAATTGCACATTAACATGAATTTTTATAGCCAATTATATGCGAAATATGCCAATGAGAAACTTTTTCGACCAGCAAATAAAACTAGCCAAAAAATGGAATAACAAATGTACTGCTGGACTTATTGAACAGCAATAGATAAAAAAAGATCAGCTTTTAATGCTGTCATTGGAAATAAGGAAGATCGATATATTAAAATGGTCAAGTCAAATTAAATTTTATATTTGAACTAATTAGAGGATTTACATTTTTTTTTTAAATGAAGAATACATTTAAAACCAATTTAAAATAATAAGTATATATAATAAAATATTTAGATAATAATCTTATTTTTAATTTTAATTTTTTAAAAATTAAATTTTTTTACTTCTTTATTAATCATACCGGAATTTAACAGTTGTAGTAGGATCACCTCGGCTAAAGATCTAAAACCCGCTTCAAAAACCAGACCATATTTCCATAGTCGATAATTTTATGCATAAACTATGCGTGGCAATTTGGCATCTTCCCAATCCGAGTGGGCTGCTGCCAGGCAAAATTATGCGGGTGTGTTTGCATCGCCTCTTGTGGCAGACAAATAACAAAATAAATAAATAAATGAAAATGCAATAGCCCTGGAGACAGACTAAGACGGAGACGTAAAACAAAACCCAAATCAAATTTCCAATCACTCAAATACTATTGGAGATTCGAATTTGAATTATTGGCTCCACATTGCCTGCACCACCACCAAGACACCAAGCCACTAAGCCACCAAGCCACTCTGCACGTCGTTTCCGGTCTTAAATCTTTAGGCGCGTGAGCTAATCATAACTTACAATGTGGTCCGGCAATTTGACAGGCGGGTTGCTGGCTTTTTAGCCCGGCCCAGTCCACTTGGCCGCCTGCCAGAGATGCGAGTACGAGTACGAATACCAGAGCCGAACCGAGGATCATGGATCATGTGGGGCTGGAAATTGTTGCCATCGCTGAGCTCGGGGCTCGGCAAGCTGTGCGAGCTGTCAATGAACTTGTATGCTCTTGATTGATTTATATTGTGCTGGCTAGATGTACGAGTATTTTTGTATCTAAGGTAAATCAGCTTAAGCAGCCGGCGAAGTACGACCGTTGATATCTTGCTTTTAACACGACACCCGAAACGAAACCCAACGGAAAGGAAAACAAACCACCACAAATCTCTACTCGAGTTCGAGTCGGCGAATCTAATGAAAGGTGTATTAATTATATTAGATATCCCAGGCAACACGATCTTTGCTGTTCTGGACTGGCTACTGTTCAAGAGCTGGTTTGTCTGCCCGCTTCTTACCAAGGGCCTTAGCCTCCTTCGGGGTCTAGGCCATAATTTAAAGTTAGCTCCCTAGGGAGGGGGGCAAAATGGGCTGAGGCGGCTAAAACTGGCGCTTAAAAGTGCGTTTAAGCAGATCTTTCGGCCGGATTGGGCTTGGCGCGCGGGCGTGGCCTTTTTATATATTCCCTGTTCCTTTTTTTAGTCCGGTCCCCATAATCCCTAATAATAATCATGTGCTGTAATTGACGATTTATGCTAAGCCCGATATAATTTACGCCGTTGGAAACACCGGGGCCTCACCTCAAACCGTTGAGCAGGAGGCGGAAAAGGAGTATCGCATAAATCATAACTGCACCTGGGATAGCGAAAGGGGCAGCTGAAGGTACCCTGGGACCTGCGATCTGCGATCTGAGTGCCTGCTACTGGCCATGGACCGATGGCTCGATGGCTCAACAAATATTTCCCACACACGCCGGCGTCGCTTACATGGCATACACAGGCATACATTACACAGGCATACAAGTATGTCGGGCAGGTTACACACAATGCAAATGCGTTCGCATAAGTCAGTTAAGGTAAATGGCCTCAAAGTCAGGAAGCGAAGTTCCTATACTCTTGGGGGGACATTATAAAAGGGGATTTCACAATAAAATTAATTTTTACCGCATTGGGTATATAATAATATAACAAATCACATTTTCTCATCTGTAAATACTATAGTATTTTATAGATTTTAATTATTTTTTAAAATCCTATTAAAACATTACTTTTTTTTACAATAATTAAATATTATGTAAAATTATAAAAACAAATAAATAAAATATAAGCTACTCCTTGAAAGACTTATCCTTTTTCTAAACATAAATTCAACAATATTTCTGTCTATAAGTTAAATAATAATATATAAGTAACAACAGTTTATTTAGAATTAACTTCATCCGATAGCTTTTATACCCCTTCCCAGCCAAAAGCTTACTCAAAAGTGTTGGCACGCAAATTTATTGTTGTCGGTTGCCGGTCGAACCGCCGATTTGCGATCCATTCTGCAAAAGGCTACCGTATTTGATCTTGGCCTCCTGCCCCCCTGACTCCCGATGCAACCCCCGCCTATTCCGAGTCCCCCGCAACTACCCGCCACTGTCAAAAAAGAAACCCAAAGGGGAAGAACCAGGGGAAATCTTTTGGAGCTGCGTGCCAGTGCCAGTTTGTCTGGCATTTGGGCAGACCTTCCAAAAACGTCGCTGACATAACTGTACCAACCACCGAGCGGTCTTGCGTGGTGTGTGGTTGGTAGTTGGTGGTTTCGGTGGTTTTAGTAGACTCAGTGCTTTCTGCGGTGGTTTTTCAGAACCAATGCTCCGGCAGCCCCAGATTTCGGCGAACGTCGCTGTTTTTGGCATCAAACACATGTCGAGCCACATGAAAGGATCGCTGACTGCTAGCCTGGAATCTGAATCGGTATCTGGATCTGGACGGGAATCTGGTGGATTTACCTATACGTATGTTACATATGGCGGTGGAGCCGCTGGATCGGCTCTAAGGCTGTGCATGTTTGGCGTTTCAATGCGCATTAATTTTGCATAGCCGGCCGTTGTTGTCGACACGAATGGCTATGAAAGGTTAATAAATCAAATGCATATGCATGGGAGACAGCGTCTGCACCTGAGATCCTGGCATGCGACTCGGTTTTTTTTGCTTGCAGGTTTATGCGTTTATAATTTCCTCAATGCCCGTTTAAGGCCATTCCGGGGGCAATCAAAATCAGCGCCTTTTGTGACCGAGCCGCATTAACACCAAATTAAGTTCGATTTTATGGCCAGTGAGGCAGCGAAAAGGAAATTGGGTCATCTTCATAGGCAGATAATGCAGTTAACGA